ATAGCACTTCGGGTTGATATATTAAAGGATAGCCTGTTACCACATTTGTAGCAATGCGGATTGATATATTAAAGGTAAGCATGTCCGCACATGTATAGCACTGCGGATTGATATATTAAAGGAAATCCTGTTTCCACCTTTATAGCACTGCGGATTGACAGGTTCCTTTATAAACGATATTCCTGTAGGTCTAAATGCTACAATCCGTTTATTTGCAGACGACACTATTGCATATCTAGTTAGCAAGTCAAACAGTGATGCTGAAACACTTCAAAAAGATCTTGACAAACTAGCACTCTTGGAAAATATATGGAAAATGATCTTCCACCCAAACAAATGCAATGTGTTGTCAGTGACTAAAAACAAAACTCCAATAGTCCATAATTATACTTTACATGCACACATACTGGAACATCTTAGTCAGGCCAAGTATCTGGGTGTAACACTATCATCTGACCTTAAATGGGATTCACATATAAATACTATCTGCCCAAAAGCAAATTCTACGCTAGGCTTTTTTGGACGAAATCTTAAGATTGGCTCAACATCAGCCAAAGTACAGGCATACAAATCATTAGTTCGACCATCACTTGAGTATGCCTGTACAGTATGGGACCCTCACACCCAAACAAATATTGACAAGTTGGAAATGGTCCAGCGAAGGGCAGCGCGCTATGTGCTCAATAAGCACAGGTACAACCATCGTACCTCCAGTGTGTCAGAAATGTTGGACCACCTAAAGCTGCGCCCTCTAGCAGATAGACGTAGAGATGCTCGTCTGACCATGCTTCATAACATTGTAAACCAGAAAGTCGCTATCGTAAAATCAGACAGATTAATCCCTACAGTTAGAAAATCCCGAACAAACCACAAGTTTTCGTATCAAATTCCCCACTCAAAAACCCAGACCAGAAAGGCATCATTCTTCCCTCGAACTATACCCGAGTGGAATAAACTCCCACCTGACATTATTTCGAGCCCCACAACGGAATTATTCAAATCAGCCCTCTACCGTTACTTTTCAAACGCAAATTAGACCATCTCGTATCTTTTAAAAACAATCTCTTTCCTTGTTTCACTCCTCGTCTGCCATTTTATCTTCAAATGGTTGAAGTTGGTCAGTACCATTTAGAAGTAGAAGAAAGGAATTCCTGTCCGCACATTTATAGCAATGGGGATTGATATATTAAAGGATAGCCTGTTAGGACATCTGTAGCACTGCAGATTGATATATCAAAGGGAATCCTGTCCGCACATTTATAGCACTGCGGATTGATAGGTTAAAGGATAGCCTGTCCGCACATTTATAGCACTGCAGATTGATAGGTTAAAGGATAGCCTGTCCGCACATTTATAGCAATGCGGATTGATATATTAAAGGGAATGCTGTCATCACCTTCATAGCACTGCAAATTGATATATTAAAGGGAATCATGTCCGCACATTTATAGCACTGCGAATTGATATATTAAAGGTAAGCCTGTCCGCACATTTAATTGAAGAAAATCCTGCCCGCACATTTGTAGCACTGCCGATTGATATATTAAAGGTAAGCCTGTCCGCACATTTGTAGCACTGCGGATTGATATATTAAAGGTAAGCCAGTCCGCACAGTTATAGCACTGCGGATTGATATATTAAAAGGAAAGTCTTTTCGCACATTTAAAGTAGTGTGGATTGATATATTTTAGGAAATCTTGTCCGCACATTTATATTACGGATAAATATATTAAAGGAAAGCCTGTCCGCACAATTTTAATTATTACGGTTTGACATATTCAAGAAAAGTCTGTCCACAGACGATGATTTTAGAAGTGTATTGATGATAAACACATGCGACACACTCAGGCTTATTACCAGGGAATTTGCAGAGGAAATACTGTTCGCAATTTATACATGTAGCACTGCGGATAGATATATCAAAGGGAAGCCTTTTCGCACAGTTATAGCATAGCGGATTGATATATCAAATGAAAATCTTATTACACATTTATAGTACTGTGGAATGATATATTAAAGGAAAGCCTGCCCGCACATTTGTAGCTTTATATCACTGCGAATTGATACATGAAAGGAAAGCCTAATTACACATGTGTAGTACTGCGGATTGATATATTGGAATTAATTGGAATTAATGTATGGTTGTTATTTACAGATATGGAAAGCACGAGGGCATAGAGCAATAATGGTTGGCCAGACAAAAAGGTTGTCAATTCCATAAATAAAAAGTAACGCGTACTTTAGGGGAAAAGAGATTGTCGACCTGTATCCATAGGTTTAATTCCAGGCATTTAGATGTTTATATTAATATTTAGAGCCTTTTAAGTTTTGTTAGATAATTCTGACCAAGGCATGCAATTGTGAATATTTTGATAGTAAAAATAATCTGTATAAGAGTAAAAGAGGCTCTTTTAGAAAGTAGATACCATTTTTAAAACCGTGATACACGTATAATTAACTGACACCTACAATAGAAGTAAAGCACTCCTGGAGGGCTGGACCACGAAATATTTTATTTCACGGGAAGCTCATTATGTTTCATGTGTGAGGCACGCCTGTCGGATGTGTAAATGATGTCCATCGAGTGACGATAGAACTAGTGTTCCGATCCATTTGAGTGACTTAATATTCACGTCTAACTTACAGCACTTGAAAACGCTGGTTATACTTGAAAAACAACTCCTGAGAATGGATATATGGGAACTCAGCATAATGAGCTGATTCGTACGACCCTCGCCCCTACACAGCTTACTGACACCTACATTGTTAAAAACAAGGTCATTTACTGACTGCCATAAATGAATATGTTGTTTTCTCTTCCAAATCCAATGATATTTATTTGCAATTTCCAGTTTGTTTTCCTTTTAAGAAATACTTTTTAAGCAAAAAAACGAACAAAATCATCGTCACTATCACTTTTTCAATCGGCCTGTTCAGCTTTATACCAACAAATTATTGGCTTGTACAACATGAAAACAAACAAAAGCAGCGGCATTTTTTTCTCTCGAAAGAATATCGATTTGTACAGCATACAAAGACATTTGTTAACAAATGCCACCTGTGTTAAATATGTGACTGTCAGAATTAGCCGACTGAATGTGCCAAAGCCTTTAAACATTGTTATATAAAGGCCTGACGCAGCTGTATGTTCACAAACTTATCTTATTACGCATGGTGTTTTATATCTATAGTGGTTGTGTTTTCGTTTACAGATGTTTACATATAAGAAACAAAAGAAGTACATTTATCAGTTATAATTATAGTGTTAACTGTACGAGTTGCTGCATTAAACATAAAACCGTAGAGTATGGCTTCATTTCGTCAATATTTAGCTGAATTCATATTTGTTAGTACATAGTTTTATATCATAATTTTTCCATGTTAAGCGTCCAAGACTGACACAATTCCTTAAATGGCGTATAAATGGCACCTAGTGAATAATAAGCGAAACTCCTCAGCGTCTCAAATTGGATCAAGTCTCCAGTCCATCTGAGGTGGCCACTCGATTTTATCCAACTGCACGTGCTCGTGATGAGAACAAACCCTGAATACACAGTTTATCGTCAATACATTACTACCTTATGTAATTCTAGATTGATAAGCAATCAACTAAACACGTAATTGTCCAAATGACTTCTTGGCTCCATAATCATCGATCTTAATAACCTCGGTCTGTGAAAAACGTAAAACCACGAACCTTAAAATTATGAAGAAGAATTGTTTCAAAATAATTTTATCGTCATTGGCTTATAGATGTGTATGTTAAAAATGCTGTTGTTAATCTCACAATATTTTTTCGTAACTTTATCTTGATTTGTTTATAACAGACTATTTGTTTACGCGGATCGCTTTTGTGAAGTAACTATTTCCAGAGCAGGACGCCACCTTGCATGAGCAGACGTTACTATTTTGACAAAAAAAGTTGTTAGCAAGTCGTACTCAACTTCTTCTCATACTGACAACCAATGATAATTAATTTATCATGATACCACTAGGTGGTATAAAATGGTATATAGATGATAATAATATAAGTCATCTCATGATCACGTGCCTCGCTTTCTTAATTACGTTAAGCCAAAACTGTTACGTAACGTTGAATGGTTTTTTTTACCAAATTATATCTTCATTCACCCGTATCAGTGTTTCTACAGCAGCGATATTAATGACGTCGTACACACAACATCAAAAATCTTGGGCCTTTTTGTTAAATTGACTGTGTGATACAGTGTATATTTGGAAACTTATGGCAATTAATGACATTCACTGATCCGCGCACCTCTTTGATGCAAGTCTCTTATTATCCTGTCAAACATTTTTGCTTCAAATTTGTTATTGTTTGAACGGACACTCCATTATTAAAGATGTCTTACAGCCCAGCCGAATAAACTTGTAATGCAGTACTGTTACTATCCGGCCTGGCAATCTTCTAATACAGAACTCTATTCTACAGTTGTATAACCATCTAATACAGAACTGTACTCTCCAGTTGGACAACTATCTAATACAGAACGCTACTCTACAGTTGGACAACCATCTAATACAGAACTCTTCTCTCCAGTTGGACAACCATCTAATACAGAACTCTGCTCGACAGTTGGACAACCATCTAATACAGAACTCTTCTCTCCAGTTGGACAACCATCTAATACAGAACTTTACTCTACAGTTGTATAACCATCTAATACAGAACTCTGCCCTCCAGTTGGACAACCATCTAATTCAGAACTCTACTCTACAGTTGGACAACCATCTAATACAGAACTTTACTCTACAGTTGTACAACCATCTAATACAGAACTCTACTCTCCAGTTGGACAACTATCTAATACAGAACGCTACTCTACAGTTGGACAACCATCTAATACAGAACTTTACTCTCCAGTTGGACAACCATCTAATAGAGAACTCTACTCTCCAGTTGGACAACCATCTAATGCAGAACTCTATTCTCCAGTTGGACAACCATCTAATACAGAACTCTACAGTTGGACAACCATCTAATGCAGAACTCTATTCTCCAGTTGGACAACCATCTAATACAGAACTCTGCTCGACAGTTGGACAACCATCTAATACAGAACTCTTCTCTCCAGTTGGACAACCATCTAATACAGAACTCCACTCTCCAGTTGGACAACCATCTAATACAGAACTCCACTCTCCAGTTGGACAACCATCTAATACAGAACTCCACTCTCCAGTTGGACAACCATCTAATACAGAACTTTACTCTACAGTTGGACAACCATCTAATGCAGAACTCTACTCTCCAGTTGTACAACCATCGAATACAGAACTCTACTCTACAGTTGTACAACCGTCTAATACAGAACTCTACTCTCCAGTTGTACAACCCTCTAATACAGAACTCTACTCTACAGTTGTACAATCATCTAATACAGAACTCTACTCTACAGTTGGACAACCATCTAATGCAGAACTCTATTCTCCAGTTGGACAACCATCTAATACAGAACTTTACTCTACAGTTGTACAACCATCTAATACAGAACTCTATTCTACAGTTGGATAACCATCTAATACAGAACTCTACTCTCCAGTTGCACAACCATCTAATACAGAACTCTACTCTACAGTTGGACAACCATCCAATACAGAACTCTACTCTACAGTTGTACAACCGTCTAATACAGAACTCTACTCTCCAGTTGTACAACCATCGAATACAGAACTCTACTCTACAGTTGTACAACCGTCTAATACAGAACTCTACTCTCCAGTTGTACAACCATCGAATACAGAACTCTACTCTACAGTTGTACAACCGTCTAATACAGAACTCTACTCTCCAGTTGTACAACCATCTAATACAGAACTCTATTCTACAGTTGTACAACCATCTAATACAGAACTCTATTCTACAGTTGTACAACCATCTAATACAGAACTCTATTCTACAGTTGTATAACCATCTAATACAGAACTCTATTCTACAGTTGTATAAGCATCTAATACAGAACTCTACTCTCCAGTTGGACAACTATCTAATACAGAACGCTACTCTACAGTTGGACAACCATCTAATACAGAACTTTACTCTCCAGTTGGACAACCATCTAATACAGAACTCTACTCTACAGTTGTACAATCATCTAATACAGAACTCTACTCTACAGTCGGACAACCATCCAATACAGAACTCTACTCCACAGTTGTACAACCATCTTATACAGAACTCTACTCTACAGTTGTACAATCATCTAATACAGAACTCTACTCTTCAGTTGGACAACCATCCAATACAGAACTCTACTCCACAGTTGTACAACCATCTTATACAGAACTCTACTCTCCAGTTGTACAATCATCTAATACAGAACTCTACTCTTCAGTTGGACAACCATCCAATACAGAACTCTACTCTACAGTTGTACAACCATCTAATACAGAACTCTACTCTCCAGTTGGACAACCATCTAATACAGAACTCTTTATATCCTGCCAGACACTCTTCTAATACAAAAAGTATGTCCAGCTGAACACCGATTTTATTCAGAATTCAAACTTACCGGATGGACAATAACTAAAGGAATCACACAACTAGATTATTTACTATATGTTCTCACTAAGCTTTTGAGCTAATAGCGTTATTATTTAAGTATATTTCAACACTTATGACAACTGCCTAGATTCATTGATATATACCAGTTTTAATGGCATATAAGAGCACTATAAGCTTCTACTTTTGACAACCGGAATTTACAAGCAAAACCGATGAAGCAGGTCGGGAACACCCTCAAACTTTTGACTAGATATAAATCCGTCATCACATATCAACTAAAACTTCACATTTTTCCATAATTAAAAATCTGTACAATTCATTCAATAAAAATATGTCAATATTTACACATTTAACTTACTCAGGGGCACGGAATTGAACCAAAACAAATCTTAGGTAAAGATTGCAATCGTATGAAACACTTGCTGATAGGCTGGTTTAGTCGTATGAGTCCTTAAATGCTACATTACCGATTAAAATAGGGAAGTTTGGTGCAAATGGCATAATGAGTTATAAAGAAAAAACAAGTTATCGACCCTGAAGTAGAATGTTACAAGATACAAGAAGTTTTATTTTACGTCGCATATTCAAAACATTTAAAACAGTAAACATTAGCACTGCAGTGCTATTCTTGCGACAAACAATGGATACACATAAGAAATAACATGGATAAACAGTATGCAGGTAAATTCAAAGCTAGTTAAGAAATAGCAGGCAAATATCACATGATAATTTAACAAGTAAAAACATTAAAGGTACAAAAGCAAAGCAGCACATAAGTAATCAAAGACAGCATTTGAAGTTAAATTTATAAACTGGAGGTAAATAATGAATACTAGTATGTTACACAAGTATTACTATCAGAGAGTTAAAGCACTATAACAGTGTAATATACATACGTGCTAATATAACAAAAATAAAGATAAAAATGTACCAATTATGTTCAACACACTAATGGGCTACTCATGGCATCACAACCAGCTCAAGTCCGACTGTCTTCTTAGTGTCGAGTCGTGAGATAGTATCTTTAACCTGTTTTGGGTCTATAAAGGTAAAAGAAAAAGAAGAATTTACAATGTCATCCCCAGTTTCCTTACTTTTACATACACTAGGGTGACTAGACAGGTCAGTAATTTGTCCAGGGTTTCTAACAATATCACAGGCTACAGTGGAAAGCAAATATTTTCTTATAGTACTGTATGGTCTTTATTTCTACATTAATTACATAAAAAATAGTGTCACAGTTGGCCAAAAGTCTTTGGAGCCTGTTCCTCCAGAACAACGTTCAATAAAATAATTTCGAACAGATATTCGCTTTATTTTAGTGCCATGGTTTCTCTGTTTTTGTAGATTTGACTTTTTTATATTTATTCAAAAACTTGCCGTTTTGATATATTGCTTTGAAAAAAGGTGGTTTGTTAAGTTTGGGCTTTTTAGTTTTAACAGGTAGACGTTCATCAATGACATCTTTAATTAAATGCTCATGTGCCCAGTTTATATCATCAGGGTTGTCAATTAACATAAGTCGCATGGAAAGGTACATATTCCAGGTGGAAAAAAAAAATTCTCACTTCATTTTCATCATATAACCTTCTGGTACACCAATTAAGCACACACTACGCAATTTCATATTTTGCACACACATTTATTACACATACCTCTTATATATGTTTGAAAAAATCGGAAAACCTCAGTTTCTGAATTTTTTCAGTACTTTAAGTTGCTGAATAATTATTTTGAGTAATTTTCTTTTATTGAATTTTAACAATTTGACACACTTAGAACTTACACAAAACTCCAAAAGTTTACGCCAAACATGATTCATACAAGGTTATCAGTTATCTATCTTTACTGATTAGCTATCAATTATACAGACTTACATATAACACCTCTTTCTCCCCGGGGTGCCACCACTTTACAAGGGAAGTATTGGAGGTAGGGGAGATGAAATGCCATAAACAGCTTATTGTCTGAGTAAACACTCAACAGAAATACATTAAATCAATAAACAAGATATTGGTCAAGGTATATATTATAACAGGAATAATAGAATACAATTCGCTAAAAAATGGAATGTCAGTTATTTTTAGCCAAAACACAAAAGTGACACATACACATATAGAATCTCTGATGTACAATTTTTGTAATAGCTTGTTCTGTGGTGTTAAGGGGCTAATTGATGTTCATAGTCTAGTTGTGTACGGTATAATAGTTATTCTATGATAAAAACAAAATAGGGATTTATCAACAGAAAAAAACCTTTAATATTAGGGAAGGCTGTGTATGAAAATATGACAGAAGAATAGCGTTACTATTTTAGGTTAACACTCGTGACAACTGTCTAGATTCAAAGAGTGTTTTCGACAGGTTAATGGCCACTACTGGCTTCCTAGTTTGACAACCGGAAGTTTACAAGCCAAACCGGTGAAGCGGGTCAGGCACACACCCTGACTTTTGCTCCATTTTCCAAAGTTAAATATCTGTATATTTCATTAAATAGAAACATGTTAATATTTACACATTTGAATTACTCAAAGGCACTGTATTTAACCGGAACAAATTGTAGGAAGGGATTATAATTGAAGGAAACATTCCCTGATTGGCTGATTCATCAATCCTGAAAACTCGTCTTGAGTCGACTCGTTGTAAACAGCACTACATCAATATGTAAGATTGGCATTGTATAAATCACTAAAGGACGATAACCTTGCTGATTTATTGTAACGTTAAAACCGTAAACAATATTACATGTACTGATCGATGTTGAACGATTCTCAAGCACAGATGTTACTATTAGGAAAGGTAGATAACTCTTGTAACATTACAGCTATAATAATGACAACTTTAGCGTTCATACTGAATAGGTGTTAAGATAGAAAACTTCAATAATCTCAGTTAGACTGAATTAGTTTTCCTACATTAACAGCATGTCAGATTTCGGAATTACTCTACACAATTTTATTTAAAATGGTATATATATACAGGTTTGTAACAAAAGTAACAAACATCGACTCTCAGGTAAATAGTGTTAGTGCAATACCTTGTACATTGTCCATGAAAAATAATTATATTAAGTCATCTGTTTACATATTTTATCTAATTGTCAGCTTATAGTATGTTCCTGTTGATAAAAACGACATCAAAATTCGAGCATTTATCATAGAGTCGACAGTGTAACTGTTGCTACAAACTCACTTAAAAACATACGTGCATACCTAAATTTATATACATACTCTGTATGTACATATATTACCAGCATCGATACAGATGCATGTTCGGAAGACGATCGTGCCATTCCACTTTATATCAACATTACAAACAGGTTTGCTTGGTAAAAAAAGCCAAGTAAATTATCGGAGTTTTGCTTGACGAAACAAACGGTATTTTGAACAGGTTTTATCAGCATCCTATTAGATGGAACCCGTATCAGAACCCTACTTAACTAGCCATGTTTCCTCCAGACGCCTTTAGATCGACACTAACATACTTTTATCTGCGGTGAAAATGCTTAAATGACTCTATTTCTCCGTCGACCCGTCGCCAGAATCAACGACTACATTTGGATTATTCAATAACATTTCAAAATAGTCATTTTTCTTTGTCAAACATCGTTTCCCCTTCATGGCGCCATAATGCGTCACCTTGACTCCGTTATTAAGTTCAACACGGACAGAGCTTTTCGAGGCCATTGCCGGGTCCTCCGTGAAGTAGTTGTAGGGGAGAAGGTAAAAGCTAAGGTCCATCCCTGGGGAGGGTGTGACGGGCAGGTCCTCGGTGTGTGGGATGTGATGAAGTCCCATTGTAACCCAAGCCACCAAATCCTATAAATAAATGGATAATGACGACTTTAAAATGATGTAAATGCTAATTTCAATCATAAATCATTTCAAAGAAGAGCATTTATAATAGATATATATTACATTTTTCAATAAAGTTACAGTATGCATTTAACGATGAAAACCAGACATATTATGATCGGGAGAATATAACACAGTACTTCACCCCAGTGTACAAGGTTGTGAGCTCCAGTGCACCAGCATGGGTACGGGGGTTAGCTTTTCTTGTTTACTCCAGTACACTAGACTACCAAGTCAAGTTTTTCCCCAGCTGTATATTTGATATGTAATAAATAAAGAAGAAGTGAAATAACTCACATCGCTTAAGAACCTAGTGTTAACAAAAACGTATTTTATTCATATCAATGGTTTCAAACCATATTTTAATATTTGTACACGTTTCATTTTAAATAAAAAAAACACATTTATAATGGGATGGATTCCCATAAGATATATAATGAACAATTTATGTGTAATTTCGAAGTTATTCTTGAGTACCTATTTGTATGAAATAGCGGATCGAATTTAAAAGGATAAGGATGTTTGTATGTCTTGTTGTACAAAAGGTCCAGCGGATGAAAATCTATAATTGAAATTGTTACGAAATATAATTATGTAGAATTATAATATTACAAATTGAAGGCTTTGAGTGCAATAGATACATTATACTTCATCTAGAAAATAAATCCAGCTAAAGGGTTACTGCCAACCTCGGGAACTGATATATACACTTGCAGAATCAACAAAATTGCAAACAACTTTCTTTTAGGTAATTTGACCGGTAAATGTATGTTTTCCCCCATATTTCTTTCTCGTCAGGAAATGATTGACATAGTAGGAGACTAAAAACAACCTTAATACAAAAGATTTGGTCAACATCTGAAGCAAGACATAAGCAACAGACATTCTGGAAACCGACAGGCCCGAAGAAAACTACGATTTTGGCATTTCATCCCTTATTATAACCTCATATTATAAAACAAGCCGTTAGGATTGATATGTCTCGCCTGTACCCCGCTTTGACCATCAATGCACATGTCAAAGTTTTGTTGGTGTAGAACTTATAATTTCAGAGAAACTAACGCAAAAACTTAATGTTGATGGAGATGCTGACGAAGTCAATGGACCATGAAAGGTATACCGT